CCCCCCCCCCCCCCCCCCTCCGGGAAGGATCAGTTAACTGTTTTACTGTAATTTTTCATTTCAAAGCACACGTAAATGCATGACACCCGAAAACGTTTGCCCTCTTTGCATAGTAAATTAAACGTTCTCAAGGTCGATTTCCATTGACGGGTTTTTGGCTACGCACGTTAACGCACGTAAATTTTAATCACGTAAATAAAATAGAGGCAAGATAAAAAGTGCTGAGCTTAAACGAGAAGTTGAGCGAGGTGCAACTTTTACGCTTACGAGCGACCTTTCATGCATTACCTCTATTTTAGGTGCGAACGTAAATTTTACGCTCGCACGCACGTAAAAATTACGGGACACTGGAAATCAACTTCATCTACAAAGATTGAGCTTTCATATTTATATATCTACCTCATTTACATCATTTACATGATGCTCTCTGGGAATATTTTCTCAAGGTGACCAACAACGAAATATAAACTGCTAAGCGCGGGCACCGAAACCAACTTTAGGTGCGCACTGAATTCAAATATTAAATTGTCACTTGAGTTATATAGAGAGAGAATTGTGGGTAGGGACAACGAGAACGACAAGCTGCAACCGCTGCTCGTGCGCGTGCAAAGTGTTTCTTTAGGAGAGCAAGTGTTAAGAGTGCAGATTGTTAAGGATAATTAAGTATCTAATTTAATTGATTGAATTTATCTCATTTGCCAACACTACAGACTAAAACTACTGGGATATTATTTCATTGCATGGTTTTTAGGCACAGTAACGCTATGGGCCCCTAACACTAAAGATCCACTTGTGAAGATGCTGTGCCACAGAGGACCTGTACAGGCAATTGCCGTCGACAACAGAGGACTGTAAGTAACTTCTATCTTGGTTAAGTTGTAAATAAAACATTTTATGCCACAGGTACCCCAAGCTTTTAAGAGAGAATCGTTCTTGTGTAACAGAAACGTTGTAAGGGTTTGTCTTGGGATTTTAGCAATCGTTATTTAGAGGTCAAAAATAGTAATAAGAAGACATCAGAATTTCATTCTTTATTTTTTTGTTTAAATTTGTGGAGTGTTCTTAGCATATTTGGCCCTTTGAGAGCGACTCCAGCAAGTTTTAGGTCTGCCGTTGTTCTCTTTAGAAATATTATAAGTGTTTGCATGCATGGGGATTTTAGTGTTCCTTTTTAAAAGGTCAAAAATAGTATTTAAAAGACATCAGAATTTCTTACCTTTTCTCATTGTTTAAATTTACGTTGTGTTCTTAGGACATTTGGCCGTTTCAGTGTGATTCCAGCGACTGTTATTTCTGTCGGGAATAATATATAAAGAGAACAACTGCAGAACTAAAACTTGCTGGAATCACACTGAAACGGTCAAACATCTTAAGAACACAACGTAAATTTAAACAAGGAGACAAGGTAAGAAATTCTAACGTCTTTTTATCCCTATTTTTGACCTCTAAGTAGATCGGTAAAATCCTCAGACAAACCTCGAGCAGTCAATAATAAGGATATTTTGTTTCTAATAATAAAACCCTAGCTACATGGCAACGTCAGGCCTGGATGGACAATTGAAGATCTGGGATGTTAGAACTTATAAGCAGCTACAGGCTTATTATACACCAACTCCAGCAAGCTGTTTAGCTATCAGCCAAAAGGGAATGCTAGCTGTAGGATTTGGACCAAACATACAGGTATCTTACATTTTTTCTTTGAAGTTTGAAGGGGCTATGTCAGGCTATTTGCTATCTTTTTAAAATCTAAAGCTACGCATCAATTGGATTCCAAAAATAATGATCCAGTTTTGTTATTTAAGACTGTATTTAGGCACTGAAACTATTTCGTGTCGTCCCTGTTAACGGATGGCAAGGATGGATATGGATTGTAACTTGAAAACGTTTTCAAGTTTTACAAAATGTAATGCTGCTATGCCTGCAAAAATCGCCATAAAAATTATTATGGTTAGTGCTCCCCGATGACATTTGTTTGGTATCTTCTTCATATCTCTACAGGAGCAGTTTAGGTATGGGTAAAAGCCCTTAGTAATGACGTCAGAACAGAATAGTCTAGTTATTGACGTAGGTGGCTCTGAAGAAAAAATTCGAGTACTCCTAATTAGGAGTCGAACCTATAACCTTCTTGTTACTAGTCAACATGACATCTTCCTCAGTCTCTTGAAATGTAGCATACTCTACGATGAAGCCTGTCTATATCAATTATCCACCGATGCCGTGCCTATTCAATGTACAAAACGCAATACTGAGGAATCTCATGAGCCTACCTCAGTGTTGCCATCTCAACGAGGTTTTAAATTAGCCTCTTTAAATATCAATAAATTAATCACACACATAGATCAACTTAGAATTCTTCTAGCGCATAACGAAATAGATATTTTATCGATTAATGAAACTAAGTTCAATGAAACTATTAGCGACAATGAGGTCAACATCTCTGGCTATGATATAATTCGACGTGATAGAATCACAAACGGTGGAGGAGGAGTGTGTTTCTATGTGAAAAGTTCAATAAATTTTACCATACGAAATGATTTAAACATGGACACTCTTGAAAATCTGTCTGGAAATTCAAAAACCTAGATCTAAACCGTTTGTTGTTGCCACGTGGTATAGACCACCTGATTCTCCTATTGGTATTTTTTCACCTTTCAAAACTTTAATTGGGAAACTCGATTCCGAAAATATTGAATATTTTCTAATGGGAGACCTTAACCGCGACATGATTGCTACTCGATATGACAACAATACATGCAAATTAATGAGTATCACTGACATTTATGGTCTACAGCAACTTGTCACTGAACCAACCAGAATAACTCCGACTTCTGCAACTTTGATTGATGTAATCTATACTAATTGATCTTTAATTGTCCTGGTTTACTCACCAAACGACGTTTGAAAAAAGAGCGCAGAAATTCCATTCTGATGACGTGTCACTTCTGCTTCTGATTGGAAGAAAATTTTGCTTCAACTAATCAGAAGCACTACCCAGATCTGGGTAGTGACGCGTCATCAGTTTGGAATTTCTGCACTCGTTTCTCAGACGTCATTTCGCGAGGAAACCAGTGGTGGCATCGCGAAATGTCGGCTGGCCTGTTTGACTGAATCGTGCTCTTTCGGATATGATTCAAAAGATTTCTTTCCCCTGCTCATGTTACGTATTGAAGTTGTCTATGACCGTCAGAACTAATGACGTCACAAGTGGTACAAAGGACGAGAGTCCGCACGGGCGGTTCAAGTGTGAATGGATTTTTCATTAATTGCCACTGTTTCCATTGTAATTGAAAGATATGGCGAGATGCTTTCACTGTAAAACAGAAGTCTCCCTATATGTCGCACCTTTTCCCGTCGTGTACTGTTCATGGAATGCAGTTCTGTCCATTTGAGGATGTACTTGGAGTGGGACACTCTCAAGGATTTGGAAGTTTACTTATACCAGGTAATACATGCATATGCATTGGAGTAGCCACTGTGAACAAAACAATAACTCTGCACGTGCATCACGCCGTCGTAAGGTCACTATTGCTGTTGCGTTAAAGAATCCATTTTCAGATTGTTCGTTTATTTTGTCGGAACGAATTCAAAGAAACTGACGTTTAGAAACTAATCCTGGATTCTCCTAAAGAGAACACACTTTAAGTTTTATAGTCAAGGAAAAATATGCTCCAGAACGTTCACTTTGGCGCAGTCGCCTTTTGCCAGTTAGTGGGTATTCCTTTGATTTGTTTGACATGATTGTTTTTATACCAAATAGGTGCTGGTGAGCCAAATTTTGACGCCCTGGAAGCCAATCCTTATCAGACCAAAAAACAGAGGCAAGAGTTTGAAGTGAAAGCCTTGTTAGAAAAGGTAAAGAACCCTATAACAACGCTGACTATAGTGTTTTTATAAAATCATGATGTTGGTTGTGTTATTCAGGAATCTCCAACAACAGAAACGGTAGCAAAATAAGCACTCCTATTAAAAACATGTGCAGCATATTCATACATTGTACTCGTCCTATACAATTTAAAGTGAGCCATTTGAGCGTTTCAACTAGCTGGAGTGAAATTAGGGAGAAATTGAACTTTACTCAGTTTACACTCCAATAAGAGAAGCTGGACTGATTTGTTTCATCTTTTACTATCATATATAATATTAGTAATATTTTTTGGGGCTTGTTTTTTAAGCATTTTCATTTTTCCAAATATTTTGCAGATTCAACCTGAGCTTATAACATTAGATCCAATGGACATTCTTCGCGTCAATCGGCCTTCAAAGAAAAACACTGGAAAGGAGGGTTTAAAAGATGACGATGAAGATGAGGATGAGGTAAGTGCATGTTATAAGAGAACTTAAATGTTACATGAGTCTGACCTCGGATGGAACAGAGGGAAACAAAGTGCTTGCACATAATTAACTTTTGTCTTGTATTACCAGCCATTTTCATGAAATGAATACTCCAGATGGTTGGGCATTTCTAAACGGCAGCGGCTAGAATGTACACTCGAAAATCGGGTTGGTTACCTCATGACAATCACATATCGAAATATTCCCTTTGGAGGACCCTTTTAAATAGAAAACTGAGAAACATCGAAAATGGTTTGAGCCCAGGGGTCAATCCATAAGTTTTAGGTGGAATAGGACTGAATACGACTGTTATTGACACGCAGTGACTAATCTTTTGACGGTAGTCATCTCTAGAGTCAAAGAGAGTTTATTCGTTAGTTAATGGTATTAAACTCAGATTATTGGACTAAGAGTCTAGTGCCCATGCAGCCTCGTTTCCAATCAGATATAAATTTGGTCGGTTTGCTCTTCCAAATATGGTCGGTGCCGGTTGGTTATGAAGATCTTACAGGGGCATTGGAGCCAATCACAAACGGCGAAATATTTGGAATGAATAACGAGCATTATCCGAGCATGTTTAATGACTTTTCGAGGAGCAACCGACCATTTAATTTGGAAAAATGAAGCATCAAAGTTGAGCATTTTTTAGTGGAGAAACAACAGCATAATGTACAGAGGCCTATAAGAGACAAATCGAAAGGAGCCACTCACATTTACAGTCTTCATAGGCAATTACATCACGGCAAAGACGACCAATAAAAATGCTGCAAAAGATCACCACCATCTCACCCTCGCCGGGAGAATTTCCACTGCAAGAGTTGTCAGCGTTATGATTAGCGATGATCTCCAGTGGAACCAGCTGAACGCCTCTATCTTCCTAAGCAGTTAAAGAGAGCTGGAAATTATGGGTCTAATAATCTGGTGCAATTTTATTCGGGCACTTTTGTTAGATCAGTGCTGGAGTATGCATGTCAATCCGCCACAGTCTGCCTAGTTAGTACCACTGCCACTTTCCATCTGCCGTTTGCGGTAAACGTGATCATTTCCAAAAAAGACATTGTTAAACCCGTCTTACCACGAAATGTAATAATAGGCCATTTCCGAGTTCCGAAAACCCTCAATTTAAAAACGAGGCTAAGTGCAAACCTCTCTTTAAATGAGTTTTATTTGCATGAGAAAAATGGCTTCGCCCTTAGACTCGCTTTGAAACAGAGGCTTGAGGCAACTTGGAAATAGCTTGTCATCGCTCCATTGTGAGCCATCGTTGTCAAGCAAAGGTGTCTTTTGTTTTATCCATTTCCAGGAATCCAATGCCAAGGAGAAGTTCGAACCAAAATTCAAAACGAAAGGCCGGAGCTCGTCAAAGAAGCAACATCTTCGAAAGAAAGGCCATCAAGAAGAAACGAAACGGGTAAGCATATGATTTTTTTGAGGTTCAAAGAATAGCTTCATTTTTTTGGAATGATTCTCTGCATCTAAATTAGGTTACGTTAACACGGTACTGGACTAATTCTTCGTCCGACCTAAAAATTTTATCTGACAATTTCTTCACACAGAAATGGTTAAACATTTTCTCTTTGTTCATCCGAGGGAAACTTGCGAACCATTTGAATTTTAACCAGCCTCGTTCCCAGTCGTTGCCGGTGATTTAGGATGCGCGTTACCTGTTAAAAAAAATTTTTTTTCGGCCTTTCGGGCCTCCGTTTTGTCTAAAAAGAAGGAGGGAGCGTGCCCCTCCCCTGGATCTGCCACTGATAATTTGCCTTACATTGGCTGTCCATGTAAAGGTGCCGCAATACGTTGACGCAATACGACGAAATGAATTTTGCGCAAGGTCAGTTGTGTAAATGTCACAACTGAAATCAGTTTGTGTCGTGAACGCAGAAAAAAACTAACCAAAACAAAGCGTTGCATTGATAAGAAATTTTATAACTGAAGAAAGTTGTCTAAAAATAACTAGTGAAGCAGCTCAAAACGTTTCTCATCTTTGGCCTAGGCCAAACGTGTAACTTTTCATGAGACGAACCAAACTTAGTGAGTTAAGTTCATGAAAAGTTCGACGTCTGCCTAAGTTAAGTTCATCTGAATGAGTTTCGATCGTCCAACACGGTCTATTCGTCGTTCTTTACATGTGACGAACTAAACTAATGTATGAAAAAAATTGTATGATAACTATATTTACGCCCGCTCGGGAAAAAAAAATTACTAAAATTGCTTTTTGGTCTGATTCAGTTGTATGGTTGGACGCGTCCTAAGTTCGATGTCTGACCCAACAGAAGATTTTAACTTAATTTAGGTCGACCCAAATTAGAGTTTGGTTCGTCTCGTGAAAAGCTCGTCATTTGGCATAGGCCTTGGAAAGTTTGGGGAAATGATTAATTTTATGTTAAAGTAATTAAAATTTGTTGTACTAAATAAAGAGGAGACTAGTTTTTCCATCATTTCTAGGCGGAGTAATAAGTATCAACATGATATTTTTTGTCTTGATACAGGAGGAAATAAGACAAGCCATACAGGACAAGCGAAAAGAAACAAGAGCTAATCAAATGAATGAAAGTAGATTCCTTGAAAAGAAATCCGCTCTGGATAGATTTCAATCCAGGGCAAAATAAACAAAATAATGCAAGCCTGTGATTGTTGTTGTTATGTTACAGATTTTCTTGCCTCATTTTTTTTTCTCTTGCTGGGCATTTAGTAGGCTTCATTTTGGTGGGAATAGTTTTTAGGAAAGCTTTTAGGATCTTNTCATTTCTAGGCGGAGTAATAAGTATCAACATGATATTTTTTGTCTTGATACAGGAGGAAATAAGACAAGCCATACAGGACAAGCGAAAAGAAACAAGAGCTAATCAAATGAATGAAAGTAGATTCCTTGAGAAGAAATCTGCTCTGGATAGATTTCAATCCAGGGCAAAATAAACTAAACAATACAAGCCTGTGATTGTTGTTGTTATGTTACAGATTACATCCTTGGACAAAAGCTAGCAGTACTAATTATTACACTGAGCAAAAGTTTTATTAATTTTTTCGTAATTGTCCAGTGCCTGACAAATAAATTTTATCGTTTTTTTCAAACTTTTTTTTGTGGCTTTTTAAATGGTCTGAGAATACAGCCGACATTTGGCGAGACCACCACTGGTCTTCCCGCGAAATGACGTCTGAGAAACGAGCGGAAAAATTCCATACTGATGACATATGTCACTACCCAGATCTTGGTAGTGCTTCTGATTGGTTGAAAATTTGCGTCCTAAAAATTATGCATCTAAAACACAGGTTTTCGAAAGAGTTCGTTTTCGAATGGACAGAAGAAAAAGGTTTTCGAGTACATTATACTGCTCATGCTCTGTAAGCGACGCCTAAACATATTGCTTTTCTGACGTTCTTCTTGCTGTAGCCTGCGAGCAAGCGGTTCTCGCGTGACTTCTCGCGACTCCCCCAAATGGAGAGCTTTTCTCGCAGGCTATCGTTGCCGTCGCCGTTCTCTATCTGAAGACAGACCCCAGAGGACGAGGGCACCAGTATCGCAGACAAGCTACAGCTTTAGAATGCCTTACCAAGGGGGGAAAACACGGCCGAATTGCAGACTCTCGAACTCCAGATAAAAATGCCAGATTTTTTAAGCACCAGGTTCGGCGCATGAAATGTTCAACGAAATGGTAGAAATATGTAATCAAGCGTTAGGCGCGGTTTTAGTTAAGGTTACTCTGTTCGGTTCTTCCACCATTGTCAGTGGTTGCCTACCTCCCAAATATGCTGTCGTATTTTACACACGATTGCTTTCAGTAAATGGGTGTTGGCAATGATTGGAGGCGCTTGTAAAACCTCTTTAGCTGACTAACGCTTTGAAAGAGCCTATAGCCACTGTGCAGCCGTCCTTGGTTAAAGTTTCCATGTTCACCCGGATTCAGCGACGAACAGGAAAAAAAGCCAGCGCGAAAAAAAGAAAATGAAGACTGGGGAAAAGAGGACGGTAACACTTTGTGCAAATATAACTTTCCATTCCATGACTGTAATTTTTTTTTCCCGTGGGACTCTACGATCCAGCACAGAAAATGTTGGTTTTTGCGTGTTTTTTTTTTGATGTTGTTGTTTTTTTCTACAGGATTCTCGAAACTATTTAACCACAAGTCGACCTCTACCACCAATGGCTCTTTTCCCACAAACAGTCACTTTTTATCTGGGCAGATACATTCTTTCGTGTTGAGTTTTCAATGACAGTTATTCGCCACGTTTGGCACGAGAAGGGAACTGGTGTTGAAGTGCATCCCGCGATGGTTTCTGGGATCGTTACTTTAGACGTCCCGGTCAGCTATTGGTCAATTTTTTCCCTGTCCCTAGTAACAGTCCCAGAAGTCTTTGCGAAAGTTAACTCGACCCAGTTTCCTTTTTTTTTTCTGCAGAGGTTGAGCCGTGTTTTCACACATTTTGAATAGGGAATGGGTACAAACGTTTGGCACAAAGATTTCTTACCATTAGGGCATTCAGTATAATCAATAACAGGTTGACTCTGGATGTCATCAGCCAATCATAGCAAATGCTTGTTCACTCAGACAACCCCAGAGGTTGTTGCAACCAAAAGCTTTAGCCTGCTAGCAAGCTCTCCATTTACCTTGCGTTTCCTTTCATGTGCTGGTCTCGTGTGACTTCTCACGACTCCCCCAAATGGAGAGCTTGCTCGCAGGCTACCAAAGCTTGTATCCAACCTCCCTGCAGTTCATGGAGTGGCAAATTAAGGTCAAATACATGCATGAACACACCTCCATGTTGCATTGCAAGAGGAATGTCAAAACGGGGCATGAGGTAAAGAGGGTTCCCGGTCTTTGCAACTCAAATATTTGAAGTTGTTCAAAATGCTGATTGTTTCAACAAAAAATAAATATCAAAGAATTGAAATATATGAAATGAATCATATTAATTTTGAACTGCAGTTAAAGATATGAAAGTGAACATGATCTTTGCAGTTTAGCCTAAATGGTTGAAAAATGGCCTCACAATGGCCTGCTCTCCAGTTGGTTTAGCTCAACAGATAGAGCATTGTGTCCAGTCATCCCAAAGGTCAGGGTTTGCTTCCCAGTCAAGCCTGAATTTTCATCCGCTTAGGTTGTTCATTAAACTGTGAAGAATCAAGATCATGTTCACTTTCATACAAATATCAAACATATTCTCAAGTGTTATGTTCATGCTGCTCTTTATTACATTTAGCACAATGGTGGTAACAATTTAGTTCTTCTTCTTGGCAACACCAACAGTTCTGCCCTTGCGACCAGTGGTCTTCGTATGCTGTCCTCGCACACGCAGACTGAAAAAAAAGGTAAAATTATGGTTATGAGAATCGGACAAATATTTGAGGCAAGGCAGCAAGGCTGTAAAGAATTAAGAAACATTTTGAATGAATAATAGAACAATTACTGAATTTAGATCTCAGAGGCTGCAGTGTACAATATGTAACAGTAACTCTTTCAGGGCTGTTGTTAAGAGCTGGGCACCAGGGATTTCCCACGACTACATTCATTGGAAAATAGAAGAAAAATAGAACCAAAAGAAATCCCTAGCTATTTGATTCCATGCCTACATGTACTTGTTGCATTTACCTGGCAACTTGAAATCTTAGTGACAACTCCACTAAAACTTTTAAAAATTCCATGACAAATGTGGTTAGAGCATCCGACTAGTGTATGGGAGGTTATGGGTTCAATTCCCATCTGTGTTCTTCTCTCAACACATAATATCATTTCATTTAAAACACAAATAATAAGAAGATAATTACCCCCAGTAATGACGAAGACCACGATGAGCACGGATCTTCTTCAGTCTCTCAAGATCTTCACGAAGCTTGCTTTCAAGATTGTTAGCAAGTATCTGAAGGCAACAAGGCATTGCACTGTTAAGCGCAGTTTATGAAATCATTTAAAAATAACTACATCACAACCTTCCAAGTTAATAGTTTTCTTCAGAGGCCATTTGACAAAAAACTCTTTGGATTCAATTTCAAGTGCCAGGATATACAGCCAAAACAATATCTGTTAAATGTGACAGATTTCTTATCAGTTCATTTGCACCCAAACAATTTTGTTATAAATGTATCTTGTGAAAGATATTTTCCAATAAATTTGGTAATCTAAACTTGCTTTACAATTCACTGAAAGAAACATGAACCGTAGTACCACTCAAGAGATAACAACCATTTTTTTTTTTTTACTTTATCATCACTAACAACTAGGTATACCTATCGATAGAGTGCCAACGAGCAATTCATGCGTATTTTGCTTAGGAATAAAATTCCTTTTTTTCCCATTTGACCGTTTCTTGGTCCCTTCCTGTTGCAAGGATTATTTTCTTGAAAAGTTCTCAGATTCAGTCTGGTGGCTTTACAAACCTGCTATGTAAAAGTGTGAAGTGCCTTGAAAGAATAAAGTCAGCTTTGCAGAGGAAGCGATCGGGAATATTATTAAGTCCAGCTACGAATCTACTGTCGGTTCGGTTTCACATTGTTGATAAATATTTGCACAGTTTAATGATTTAAACCTCCTTTCAAATTTCCCGAGGCTTTTTGTTATCGGATTGAAACTTAGAATATTCGCTGGGCCATCTGAAATGTTTCCAAGGACATGCGATGTACAGCAGTCGGTATTTAATTTTAGTTCATTATTTTAATACTGAACTCGGCCAGGTTTTCGATAAAATGGCGTTGTTTTCTTTTCCTTTGTCGTTCGCTTTAAGCTTGTAATTCGTTTTTGTTCTCATTGTTTTTGTTTGCTGGTTAGATTTTTTCCCCAACACCAGATTTTCCAACAGAAGCGACTGCATTCTTCGTGTCAAGCTTTCCTTATCTCCTCGTGTAATCTGATCCTTTTTAGTGGTGAGAATATTGCTTGCTGCACATAGAACACTTTTGTTGTTTTACAAACTTCTCTTCGTTAAAACTTAACATTATGGCCCCTAAAATTAATAGAATATATCAAGTGCTCATGTCTCTTGACTGCGGTGGCCGGGTTTGACGAAAAAATTTAGGTAAATAAACACAGGAAGTCACAACGGCGTGGAGTGTGTGAAATTTTGTTTGTTATTCAACTTGAGCCCGTGCGCCAGGTACTGCCTTTTGATTGGTTCACAACTGACCACTTGGTCTCAGGGGAATCTACATTACATTGGGTTACACTTTTTTCAGCTCGATCGAGAATTTTTCTGCCTATTGCCCAGTCTTACGCGGCTCTATTTTGCTGCCGCCTCGCCATCCGAGCGTCTTCGCTCGGATGGCTCGTTGGCAATAATTACAGTAATCCAAAATGCTGATAGTTTTACCTGCAATCATTGCTTTAAGTTTTAGTTACAAAACGTTCAACTGCGTGGCTTTCATGTTACTCAAGTCTACAGTTATTAGTTCCCTCTACAAGTGAATGCCAAAATACATATCTATAAAATGTGCAGTCTAGTTAAAAAGACTACAGATGTACCTACAGAGATTGGCCACGCATGCATTTCTTAGTGTTTGAAGAAAACGACAAGCAAAGTTTACTGTAATTTGATTGCTTCAATGCAAATTGTCATGCATCACAAGATCAAAATGTCATGTGCTGGGCAAAAGACTCAGTAGAGCTGTACAAAAATGCAAGTTTCAGGTCAGGTTTCATTGATGTTTATTTCAAAATGTTAAGCTTTTGGACTTCGTTAAGTGCTCAATTAAGTAGAAAAATCCAGAATAATAATACTTATTGATGTCGCACTCATCTGATCAATTAGAATTGACATTTTTCATGATTCAGAACAACTTTTTGAGCCTGCGCCAAAGACAAAACTAAAATTATTAATTCGTGGTTATGTTTGTCCACGAAACAGCACTGAAATCCTTTTAATGGGCCCCAACTGTGTACCAGAATTTAAGTACATGCCATGATTGGCATGTTAAAAAAGCCATTGTCAATTTGCCAATCAGTTTGAAAGGAAACTCAAAATGCACTTCTGGTAATTCGTAGAGTCGTTAGGGAGCCCAGAACAAAGATCTTGGTGCTGCTTCGCAGACACTCCTGCATATAACCAAGGTTAGATTACAGTACATCTGCAACACAGGCTAGACTTCACTTGTATTTAAATTTAAGTAACCATGGTGGCTAAAATGGTAGCAATTTGGAGGGTTGCATCAAGTTTTCACATTAATTTCTATACCTGTGAGTATTTGCCATCTCTGATGTCCTTCTGCCTGTTAAGGAACCAATCAGGGATTTTGTACTGCCTTGGATTCTGCATTATAGTAATGACACGCTCCACCTGTCAAAGCAAAAATATTGCGTCAAAATGGTCAATGCCTATGCACCAAAATAAATGAGAAAGGAAACTTTTTTTTGCTGAAAGAAAATAATTATTATGTTGATGCAGAATTTTCACTGACTTGTCGCCGGTACATGTTCATTAAATCATTTATTTTACCTCATCATCTGTAAGTTCTCCTGCACGTTTTTTCATGTCAACATCAGCCTTCTTGCAAACAAGGTTGGCATACCTCCGTCCCACGCCCTGGAAATAAAGTAAATACATGTTTGATGCCCACATTACAGTGAAATTCAACAGGAAGTTCGCACTTCAACTATCTTGGGTTGGTACATGTAAATCAACTACTTCCTGGTAGGGCTGCAATGTTGCGTTAGATCCCTTTAGCTTCTAATTATAAGAGGAGGAAGACTACAAGTACAAGATTTTCCCAACACTAAGTTTAGTGCGTGCAGATGAACCACCAGCATTTTGGCAGGAAAATGTGATAGCCATTCTAGTACAAGTTTTAGCAAGAATGTTGTAGTGGTGAAAACAATTTATCAAATCGTAGGAATGTTATTATTCGGCAATCAGGAGAGGGCTTAGCCGACTTCAATAGAAATAAGCATTCTAACAATTGTGGTGAAAAAAAGTACAATGAAGCTTTCTGGGGTGTCCGTTTCTAGGGAATACACAAAAAAAACTTTAAGTTCAGTGTTGTCCTTGTAGTCATCCCGCTCCCTAAAATGTAAAGCTCTCTATTTTACCTCAATTCAATATAAACTGCAATAAACAGCCCATGATATAGTACACAATTTGATACATTGTTGGGTGCGACGAGCATAGTGACCAATTGTGAAGTTCTACCGCCAGCATGTGTGGCTTGTGGACACACATGACTGTGCAACTTACAACTAACAAGTGACATAGCTATGCATGCATTTATTTGCCTTCTTTTCTGCCACTTTGAATAAGACAAGAAGCACATGAGCCAGGGACAGTTTGCTTTTTCACCATGAAGTACCTTGCAAAGACTATAAATATGCAGGGCTTGGGAGAGGAATATGTAATGCAGGGATTTCACAAATTTGACAATGTAGCATATTGGTTTGGATTATTTTTTCCTGATTACTTGTTCAAAATTAAGATAGTTTCTTGGTGTTATGGACAGGTGTAATCACCAAATGATGTAAAACAAAGAATTAAAAAGACAATGATCAATACTCACACCAAAATACAAGAGCTAACCAACAACAGTTTCCACAACACCAGGGAACACCCCAAATTAATATCAATATGTATCATCAAAAGAAATATCACTGTTTACCAACGCATTGTTGTGTATCACTGCAACTCAGTTGGCCAATCCCTTAGGGTGACTGCTTAATACAGGTTTAACTGTACTTTCACACATCACACTTGACATCAACGTGACATACAAACCATCTTTCTTACTTCAAATCAGAACCAAAAATTTTCGAAAGAGGATTTTCACTCCAATAACATAATTCTAATAGTAAACGAAATAAATTGTAAATAACTATTCTTTCTACTGACCTTGATTGCGGTCAGAGCAAACATAATTTTTTGTTTTCCATCTATGTTGGTGTTGAGAACACGCAGAATGTGTTGAAACTTCTCAGGAACAACTAGGGCCTGTGAAACGAAGTAAATGTTATGGTGACAACACCTAAGCACATTTAGTTGATGCCAAGGCAAAGAAGACTTAGGGAAGCAACATTTTAGCTTTAAATATGACAGTTACAACAAAGATAAACGATTAAAATCTCAAGGTTAGCTTTTGTATAAAGACCGATCATTTTTCTACCAGTCGCTGTTCAAGCGTGTAAAAAGTTCCCAAGAAAACAATCGTTAAGTCATCTTGCTGTTCAGAAATAAATACGCATAAGCGTTTATCCAGTTACATTTTAACATAAATTCTAAGGAGTCATTGTGCTTGAAAATCTAAAAAAGTGTTCCTGTTATCGCTGCAAAGCTGATTTAGATGTGAGTATGCGGTATTTCTAAAGCGATGTTACACCCTTTATCACAAGCAAACCCTCAAAATAATTACACAGTACATTTCCTCAAAATTATTATATTATAACGTGTGATGCGAGAGTGGCAAATACGGCTCAGACACAGAGATGATGGTGGATTCTGTTCCCCATTTCTTAATATTCACGATAACCTACCATGATGGCAGCCAAAGAGAACTTCCCTAATAGCATGATGGGATTTGTATTCGAGAAATTGGGACCCAGTCTCCTACCTACCGACAAGCTCCTTTGTGGGGAATATTTATTCGAGGGTTTTCTAGAGTGCCAATGGGGTTAGCAGTTAACTGATATTTGGGCAAAAAAACAGTAGTTAACTGATAACTGGCCAAAAAACTTTAAAATCCGCGCGACGTCTACCCAAAAATAAAATAAGCATGGCCTCTTTGTTTCGAAATATTCTCTCCAAAAAACTTTATCAACTTTTTGTTGAAGCCTGAAGCCAGGAGCCGATTACTTGTTGAAGCTCATTGTGCAAAAAGTTTGATTAGTGTAGGTCAAACATTTTTGAGAGGAGACAATGTTAAATTACACTTTAAAAAATCCTTATTTAAGGATCAGAACAATAAGTAATATTTACAATTTTAAACTATTATCGTATTGTTTACAAATTAAAAACTAAACATATGTCCACGATAGAAAACTATTTACAATTTTGAATAATTTAAATGTGGGAAAAGGAAAATCAAGCATTACTGAGAAAAAACTATCAAAAATCTAGGCCTAAAATTATGAGTGCAGATGTAGACCAGATACAGCGAAAGTGAAGTCTTCTTAAACCTCACGTGATTTGAATGGATATCTAGAACCTCTGACGCATCTGTGTACAGTTCTGAATATAGCAAATGAGAGCTGTATTCGAAGCCAGGAAATAACGCTGGCGTAGGGTTCATTGTTCTTAGTCGAAAGCTTATGTGCGAGAGTTCTTAAAAAGTTCTGACAGTCGAGTCCCATGCCCCCGTTTGTAACAAACACCAGTGGTGTAAAAGTTCTCATCTCTACATCCATCACTCTCTGGTTGTATTTCCTCTTCTTCTCGTTTTCTTGCTCTTTGAAGATCGTAGCTGTGTAATGTCAAATTACACTGGTTCCAAGTCGCAATAGATCTCCATAAGAGTAAATTGTATGTAAAAACGAAGCAGAAATTTTCCAAAGACATCAAAAGTCTTTCGCTTCAAAAGTATACAACCGTAAAATAGTCTAAGTAAATGGTGAATGGAAACTTTACAAAGAAAACAAATAAATAAGTAAACTAACCCTAAAGAAAGCAATGTTACTGTTTCTGGCCTTTGGTTCACGGTCAGTGGAAAGATCTGAAAGATCGAGCCAAGTCCCGAATAACCACTGAAGAATGTCTTCACCGGCGGCGCTCCTCGGTCACTTCATTTCTTTTACATTTGATTTGATTAAGAAATTCTAGAAGTGGCTTTAAGGCAAGATTACAGCAAGTGTAAATTCTTTTTTGTTTTGCCGACTCTATCACATTGTTTAAAAAACTTATCAGAAGAAAGGTTTCCTACTTAACTTGCATCCTGATCGAAGGAACCTTCCTATCGACGAACCAACATCCTGTACTTCTTCCTTTTCAAAAGTTCTTTAACGCACAAGGTGCACTAGAAAATGTACAATGGCGCCCCTCTACACACTCTGACAGCAGGCTCAAGCTTGCTAGTGACGGAGCCAATCGAATTCTCAACTTTTGAGACAAATACTCGGAATTTTGATCCAAAAGGGCAGCATAAGGAATCAAGAATGATGAACCATCAGGAACAATGATAAGTTCCTCATCTTTTATCAAGTGTGAAATCGGAGCGATCATGATCACAACAAAATACGACTCTCTTAAAGCACCAACCCCATCTTGTGACCATGTAAACTCTTTGTCGTTTGCACCCCAATGGGATAAATCTTCTACTGTTTCATCGTCTGGATCATCCAGCGAGCGATCTTTGCATCTAGCAAGCTCAAGAACACCAATCTGCTTAGGAACAACCTGTTTGTACATTTTGTTAGTCATACATTCCAAGGTATCATTGATTTCCTTTGCCGTGAATTGCCACTCTTGTCCCTTATGAAGCACCCAGAAAAACACTGATTCGAAAGCTTCTACAAGAAATGTCGTAGGCGATGAAACAAGGCTTGAAACGTTAGTTATTCTTTCAATCCTCTCTTTTGATACCGATGGAGTCGATTTTGCGCCATCCTGTGATTCCATGAGATCAGCGAGAGCTTGCGCTCGTCCCCGCTCAGCTGTTAAAAGGGCCTCTTTGGTCTTGCTTTGTCGTAACTGAACAATCCACAAATAACTGTACGTGTTTAGTTGATCCCGAAAGCTGATTTTCCATTCGTCTTTCTCTTAAAAAAGGAACCTCATCTCTTCAAACACTTTTATCAAGAGATTCAAACACTCTTAATTTTTCACCCTGACGGAAATCAGAAAGCTTTTGAAAACTCACACCAAGATTGTTGTATGCCTTCAGTTCTAAACCTTTTTCTCCTACCTCTTTTGCGATACTAAGAGACTGCTGATGAAATTCGACTGCTTATTTATAATCACCAAGAGAGCAATACGCAATGCCAAGGTATATGCTGTACCTTCTGAACCTTTTTCTCCTATGTCTTTTGCATGCGATACTAAGAACCTGCTGATGAAATTCGACTGTTTTTTTATAATCACCGAAAGAGTAATACGCAACGCCAAGGTATATGCTGTACCTTCTAAACCTTTTTCTCCTATCTCTTTTGCGATACTAAAAAACTCCTGATGAAATTCGACTGCTTTTTTATAATCACCGAGAGACTAATACGCAATGCCAAGGTATATGCTGTACCTTCTAAACCTTTTTCTCCTGTGTCTTTTGCGATACTAAGAGACTGCTGATGAAATTCGACTGCTTTTTTATAATCACCGAGAGAGTAATACGCAATGCCAAGGTATATGCTGTACCTTCTAAACCTTTTTCTCCTATCTCTTTTGCGATACTAACAGACTGCTGATGAAATTCGATTGCTTTTTTATAATCACTTGAGGGTAATACGCAATGCCAAGGTATATGCTGTACCTTCTAAACCTTTTTCTCCTATGTCTTTTGCGATACTAAGAGACTGCTGATGAAATTCGACTGCTTTTTTATAATCACTGAGAGGGTAATACGCAACGCCAAGGTATATGCTGTACCTTCTAAACCTTTTTCTCCTATCTCTTTTGCGATACTAAGAGACTGCTGATGAAATTCGACTGCTTTTTTATAATCACCGAGAGAGTAATACGCAATGCCAAGGTATATGCTGTACCTTCTAAACCTTTTTCTCCTATGTCTTTTGCGATACTAAGAGACTGCTGATGAAATTCGATTGCTTTTTTATAATCACTGAGAGAGTAATACGCAATGCCAAGGTATATGCTGTACCTTCTGAACCTTTTTCTCCTATGTCTTTTGCGATACTAAGAGACTGCTGATGAAATTCGACTGCTTTTTTATAATCACCGAGAGAGTAATACGCAATGCCAAGGTATATGCTGTACCTTCTAAACCTTTTTCTCCTATGTCTTTTGCGATACTAAGAGACTGCTGATGAAATTCGACTGCTTTTTTATAATCACCGAGAGAGTAATACGCAATGCCAAGGTATATGCTGTACCTTCTAAACCTTTTTCTCCTATGTCTTTTGCGATACTAAGAGACTGCTGATGAAATTCGACTGCTTTTTTATAATCACTGAGAGGGTAATACGCAACGCCAAGGTATATGCTGTACCTTCTAAACCTTTTTCTCCTATCTCTTTTGCGATACTAAGAGGCTGCTGATGAAATTCGACTGCTTTTTTATAATCACCGAGAGAGCAATACGCAATGCCAAGGTATATGCTGTACCTTCTGAACCTTTTTCTCCTATGTCTTTTGCGATACTAAGAGACTGCTGATGATATTCGACTGCTTTTTTATAATCACTGAGAGGGTAATACGCAACGCCAAGGTATATGCTGTACCTTCTGAACCTTTTTCTCATTTGTCTTTTGCGATACTAAGAGACTGCTGATGAAATTCGATTGCTTTTTTATAATCACCGAGAGAGTAATACGCAATGCCAAGGTATATGCTGTACCTTCTAAACCTTTTTCTCCTATCTCTTTTGCGATACTAAGAGACTGCTGATTAAATTCGACTGCTTTTTTATAATCACCGAGAGAGTAATACGCAATGCTAAGGTATATGCTGTACCTTCGGAACCTTTTTCTCCTATGCCTTTTGCGATACTAAGAGACTGCTGATGGAATTTGACTGCTTTTTTATAATCACCGAGAGAGTAATACGCAATGCCAAGGTATATGCTGTACCTTCTAAACCTTTTTCTCCTATGTCTTTTGCGATACTAAGAGACTGCTGATGAAATTCGATTGCTTTTTTATAATCACCGAGAGAGTAATACGCAATGCCAAGGTATATGCTGTACCTTCTGAACCTTTTTCTCCTTTGTCTTTTGCGATTCTAAGAGACTGCTGATGAAATTCGATTGCTTTTTTATAATCACTGAGAGGGTAATACGCAACGCCAAGGTATATGCTGTACCTTCTGAACCTTTTTCTCATTTGTCTTTTGCGATTCTGAGAGACTGCTGACGAAATTCGATTGCTTTTTTATAATCACCGAGAGAGTAATACGCAATGCCGAGGTATATGCTGTACCTTCTGAAACTTTTTCCCCTTTGTCTTTTGCGATACTAAGAGACTGCTGATTAAATTCGATTGCTTTTTTATAATCACCGAGAGAGTAACACGCAATGCCACGGCTGGTATATGCTGTACCTTCTGAACCTTTTTCTCCTATGTCTTTTGCTATACTAAGAGACTGCTGATGAAATTCGACTGCTTTTTTATAATCACCGAGAGAGTAATACGCAACGCCAAGTTATATGCTGTACATTCTGAACCTTTTCCCCTATGCCTTTTGCGATACTAAGAGACTGCTGATGAAATTCGATTGCTTTTTTATAATCACCGAGAGAGTAACACGCAATGCCAAGGCTGGTATATGCTGTACCTTCTAAACCTTTCTCTGTTATCTTTTTTGCGATACTAACAGACTGCTGATGAAATTCGACTGCTTTTTATAATCACCGAGAGAGTAATACGCAACGCCAAGTTATATGCTGTACCTTCTGAATCTTTTTCCCCTATGCCTTTTGCGATACTAAGAGACTTCTGATGAAATTCAACTGCTTTTTTATAATCACCGAGAGAGTAATACGCACAGCCAAGGTTAGTATATGCTGCCTGTTCTGTACCTTTGTCTCCTATCCCTTTTGCGACACTAAGAGACTGCTGATGAAATTCGATTGCTTTTTTATAATCACCGAGAGAGTAATACGCACAGCCAAGGTTCCTATCTCTTTTGCGGTACTAAGAGACTGCTGATGAAATTCGATTGTCTTTTTATAATCACCGAGAGAGTCACAAGCATTGCCAAGGTTGCCATATGCTTTACCTTTCTGCATCTTTTTCTCCTATCTCTTTTGCGATACTAAGAGACTGCTGATGAAATTCGATTGCTTTTTTATAATCACCGAGACAGTAATACGCAATGCCGAAGTTGCATATGCTTCTTCTTCTTAACCTTTTTCTCCAATCTCTTTTGCGATACGAACAAAGGGACTGCTGATGAAACTCGATTGCTCCTCTGTAATCACCGAGACATAGTATATGCTTTGCCTTCTGAACCTTTGTTTCCAGTCTCTCTCGCCATACTAAGAGATTGCCGCTGAAATTCGATTTCTTTTTTTATAATCACCGAGAGAGCCAAACGCATTGCCTCCTACCCCTTTTTGCCAAGGTTGCCATATACTGCACCTTCTGCACCTCTGTCTCCAATCTCTTTTGCGATACTAAGAGACTGCTGATGAAGCGGTAAATTTTTTTGAAAATCACCTCATTTCCTAACAGTTGCAGTACCTTTGTACTGTCCTTTTCTTGTTCAAATCTGTAAGAGCTAAACTCGGCTATTAAGAAAAGTTACAAATTTCAAATGAAGTGGCGAAACCGTATTAACCCCATGTTTTTTCCACTTTTTAATGTTAAGCAATATCGTTAACATAAAGTGACAAAGTTTAAAGACATTTCACCGAGGGGAAATAAGAAATATTAATAAAAAATGATCAAAAATGACAATATTACTGCCTGTTTAAGGATGCGACGATGCCATGACAACGGTCTTAATCCAGAAAATGAAACTTGATGAAGGAGCCTTTTTACATGGGTAAACTAAGCGGTGAATTTCGTGAACCAAATCGCAAAGACAAAATAACTAGATTTCCTTCTGTAACGTATACTGGATAGCTAGGGTTATTAGTAACTACTCTAGGGAGCAACCTTAACGCGACCAAATCAAGCCACGATATTTTTTTTCTCCAGTTCACGTTTTATTTTAGTTTTGCTGACCTTGAACATGAAATCTGGGCCACAATTACAGTTTCATGAATTTTGTTATTCGGATTGATCAGTATACCCCTTTTCTGGCGCGGTAAGCCTGTCGCCAGCACTGAAAAGCGCAGCCAAGCAGCTCCTCGAACTCATTCTATGCCTAACTTTTAGGTGGTATTGAACCGGGGTATTGAACTGGAAATATAATCGACATTGCTCCTTATTTCCAAAAAAGTTACCGAGTAAGCGGGTTTTTTCGGTATTGGCGAGCAAAGGACTGTAGCAAAGTATTCGCGAGATCAAAGAGGTGTGCAATGGAAGGATCATAAGGCGTACATACACACCCGTATACTCATAGTCTTATAATTGCCTCCAATGTGAAGACCGCCGCAGGCTGGCGTGTTCCTGTGGCTTGTGGGATAAAAGGGAAACAAAGCGCGTTCACTTTGAAGAAAAATAGATTTCTAAAATGATCTCTTTCTTCAAAATTAGTGTTCTTTACAATTATTTCAGCTGGCTTGATTTGTCATTTGTCAAACTGTAGGCTGAATTTGATTTGTAAGGGATCTTGCACACTTGTCGTTGTGTGTTTAACGGCTTCTTTTTTTTTTTTTTTTCAAAAAGCACCGCAAAGGAAATGTACCTACTTGTCATTTTTGTTGTCGTCGTTACATTTTGTTCGTTGCCGTTGCGGAAGATACCTGGATGTCTGAAACAGCCGTTCAACCTTCATTTACTGAAGTGTATTTTGCACTTTACGGTTTTGTTCCAAACCTTTCACATTAAAAGGATCAGGTAAATAAAATCATATAAAGCTTTATTTAATAACAGAGTAACTTTTACGGCCGTAACTTTCAGTATATAGCTGCTGTGAATTCATTATGTGTACCGGATAAACAAGTGCTGCAAGTGAGGAGATTCATGCAGTGTTAACATCAATTGATATATTTGCAATTATACCAAAATACTTAGAAAATGTATTTTTAAACCAAATTTTCCGTAATGAAAATGGTGAAGAATTAGATGAAATCAGAACATATTACAACTTTAAAACAGCAGTCTGAGTTTTGCAAAAGGTTTATTAAATTATATATGCATTCGTTATCAATCAAGCGTACATCTTCCGGCCTCACTTGAACATCAGGCCCCTCGTGCTCCCCCGGCTGCCACAGATCGAATTGTTCAATTCTTTTTTGTTCCTTTGGAAAAAAGCCTCCGGTACTGGTCCTAGCGGGTGGTCTTGTTTTAATTTCATGCCGTATACACACACTATACATGTATATTTTCATACACATCAGTCATTTTGCCATCTCCGCCCGCAAATAGCAAAAGCCAGACGAGGCGGGCGGAGAGGAAAGGTTACAGCAGTCATAACAGATAATATTGTAAAGTAACTAAATAAACTATGTGGATAAATAAGAATTACAGAAAAACAGGCTAAAGTTACAAAATATATAGTCTTACAGAATGATATTAGAAGACAAATTTACTACTAACAGAACCTATCAATTATTAGTGCATTAAGTCGAGGATGCAGAATTTGCCATTTTTTGTAGGAGAATGGGCACTTCATCATAATCGTCCTCTACTTTCAGTATCGAGAGCAAAAAGTCATGAAAATTTTTCAAAACAAAATATAAGTATACACAAGTAAACGGTATACACAAGCACTGAGATATATATGTGATTTAAATCAAATCCGATAGCTTCAGTTTATGTAGCAGTTCAAGACGTGGGATGGAGGCAAAATAATCTTTAGAAATCAATACTTCACAGACAGCATTTCTTCTTTCTTTCATGATCCTATCAAAAAATGCTTTTAGCCTTCCATCATGCTTCGTGATGTCCTGCACTGTGAGAATTTCTTCGATGTTGTCCTGTTTCCTGGTTTTACCATTTGACCCACTTCTTTTTTTTTTCTCCAGATATGTCAGGAAAGGTCGACTTTCCCAGGGATCTTGAAATCTTGAAAACTTTTTTTGTGGAAAAAGGAAATCGTCACACATTTTCCTGATCCTTAAAAAATTGCCTAGTGTATTAAGATAAAAGTGTGGTATAAGTAATGAGTGTAAAATGTACGGTTTTTTCAAAACGTCAAGGAATGTTATTTATTTTATGTTATTACAATGAATGACGTCAATCATGGGCTCCTGCGTCAATCGAAGACGTCTTCAGCCAGAGATTCGCACAGAAATGCCGCACAATGAACGCGTTAAAAAGAACGAGACAAAAGTTCAATGAGCAAACTTCAGTTCTCACTTCCAAGTTCTGTTTAGAGTTTTTTTGGAGCCTCACCCGAAATTTGGGATAACAATTAATGTTAGAGTCATTTGCTGAAGACGAACTTTCATGTTCCAGTAACAGCGGAAACACCGTCCCATGGCTCTGCCAGAAGTTGCCAGTAGTTCCTAGTCGTCATTATCGCGAGCGGCTGATGCGTTTTGGGTAACGTGGTCCGTTCGCCGAAATGCATTGACCGAGAAAGCCTGGGAAGACGCCTTACAGGGACTAGGCAAAACCTTCTGCATGTGCTAAGGGTTGACGCACTGACACCTGTTTCAGTCAAATTCAGACTCAATCAGAATTATGCTACAAATTATGCTCGACTGCACCTATTGATTATGCTGTATGAACGAAACTAAAAACACTTCTCCTTTTGCGAACAAATGCATTTTTCATGGATTAACAGAAAGGTGCAAGCTGACAGATCTGAGGTGCCTGGAATAATGAGACCAACCAATGTAGCCTTGTGAGATAGCTAACACTATGCACCGGGAACAGGCTGTCGATGAGGTGAAACCTCGTGTAGAACAATAAAATGGGTTGCAGTTTTACGGTTTTGGAGCGGAATAAAAGGAAAATAACAGGTTGACTGAGAAAAATGGGCAGAGAGCCCGGGAACTGAATGAGAGCCGCTTTTCAGTGAGACACTCAGTTACACACCCTCATCGATCAGTTTACAGTTCAAAACCAGAGCCACGGTCCCCTGTCACAGGGACCATGTACCTTGGTGCCACGTCAGTAGCGGGGAACTAAAATAAAAAATTTGATATCAGCAATAGGCAATATCCGAGCTCCATCGGGCCTCTGTATCAAAACGAGGTTAAGTGCTCAGCCTTTGATATGGATATATGATATACAAATAAAACTCATTTTCGATTCACAAGAAAGGTTTTGCACTTGGCCTCCCTAGAGTGAGGGTTTTGGAACTCGGAAGTGGCCTATTTGTTGATCAGGGTAAAGAGATCCCGAAAAACAAGCATTTCTCTTTACGAAAGCAACTGAAAACAAAATTGTCAAAGTAATTAAAAATCATGAAAGTGAACATGATCATCGCAGTAGAATGAAAACCTAAGGGGTACAAAAAGAACCCTAAAATCTTCAGGCTTGACCGGGAATCGAACCCTGACATTTGCGATTACCACAGCAGGCGCAACGCTCTATCCATCGAGTTTATCAAGCCAACCGGAAAGCAGACCATTGTGAGTTCGTAAAATACCCGATGGTGGAAATAAAAAGACTTGAAAAATATGAACAAACGAATCATATTTTTCACTGCGGATGAAGATAAGAAAGTGAACATATGATCAGCGCAGTAGAATGGACAACCTAAGCGGTAGAAACAGAACCTGAAAAAGTTCAACCTTGACCAGGCTTGATCTAGCCCTGACCTTTTCTACCGCTTGTTCATTCTATAGCTACTGCGATGGTCATTTTCACTTTCATATCTTTATCCGCAATGCAAAATATGATTCATTTCATATTTCAAAATTTCATTATTTCAAATTGTCACGTGAAAATTAGCTTTTTTTCCATATAAAATCATCAAAGTTACCAAATTCAGCAAGAAGCAGGTTTGTGAACTGAAAAAAGAGGAATTTCCATTTTTTATGTTAACCTTCCTACGACCGCTTTGGTTTTTTCCGTACCATATGGAACTATCGATGTATATTTCATTCCTTCCTGGACCCATTCAGCTTTCAGTTCAAGTTATTAAGTTGGTAAGCAGCAATGTTAGCAAAGATAGATCTTTCAAAGAATACTTCTTTTTGGAAATTCTGACCAATTTTGACAGAGT